TCCTTAAATTCAAGTCTGTTCAATGAAAAGGTAATAAACTTTTCACTGTTCTGTGCTATTACTGATATTTGTTCTTTCTTTGTGTTTAACTTTTCAAGATTTGATATTATGAGATGAGCATCATAGTTTTTAAGATTGTGAAAGAATACTGGTATATGATATTTTTCAAAGCAATAGTCTATATTACATTTCATATGTACCGCTCCTCTGTATAATCCCGTGAAGTGACAATGGTCGGCGACCTTCTTTTTCGCTTCAACTTTGTTATTGAAAGCGCCATTGCATAAGAAACACTTTTTAGCTTCTAAATGTTTAATTTCATCTAAATCTGACATAATCATATCTTTTGGTTTTTTCATTTGTTCCATAACATCGTCTCTAATATTATTCAGAGTATCGCAAAACTTATCAATACAATCTTCACCTCTGTATAAGAACGGTTTCATTTCTCCACTATAAGCATTAACAAGGTTAAGCATATAACCGCTGGGTTTATGGTTCTGATAAGTCCCTTTGATGCCTTCTGATGTTTCTGTTGTTAAACATTCAAAATCACCGTAAATAACAAATGGTGCTTTCAGTTTCTTAAAATGCTTTTCAAATTTCATTGATGTTCCTTCTTCTGGCATTTCTGTTTGTTGAATGTCATTTGCCATACATCCCTTTGATATGTGAGCATTTAAAAGCTTTTCTGATTGAAAACCGCGCTGACAGTAAATACAATGAAATATCTTTGTTTTGTGATTGTTGGTTTGACTACCCATTAATCTATTATAATCTTTTATTAAAACATAATGTTCATTATCATCTTTTTGAATTCGTAACAGATTAATATGACAAGATGGTTTTTGAATCTTCGTTATTTTGTCTGCCCTGATGGTTTGGTTCTCATCTTCAACATAAACATTAACTGATATAGAATTTTGGTTAATTGTTTCAAAATGGTTTATGTCATCATTTGATGCTGGAAAATTCACACCATCCCATTTAATGAGACTTTCAGTAGTCATTAATTTCTTGTAGTGTCTCATATGTTGTGGATGGTCTTTCTTGAAGACTTCATAGAATTTACATAAAACGCAGTATTTGAAACATAACTCATCTTCGTTTTGAATGTTGATACACGCTTTTTTCTTTGAAATCCATTCTGGTAGTTCCATATATTTTCCTGCTCTGTTCGGGTTGTATTTGTCGTAGTGGATGGTGATTTTGTTAATCTTATTAATCTTCAATCCTGAATGTTTCAAAGGTGAGTTTTCAATTTGAAGTTCAATGTCTTTCGGTATATTTTCCAATGCCTTTTTCAAATCGCCTACATTCAAAACGTTGTATCTCCTACTCCTCATATTGTGTTTTATTTGTACATCATTTTCATCTTTGGTAGATATTCCAAGCGTGTTTGATGCGCTGACGGTGTCTTCTGTTTCATCACCATCTACATCAACTTTATCAAACAGAACCTCAACATCAATCAGTAGTTTCATTGATTTTGCTTGTTGTAAAAACTCTGTTAGTTTCTTTTCTTGCCATAAAAGATATGTTAATCCTTTGTATCCCTTGAATGGTATGTTGGATATTGAATATGTGTTGGCATATTCTTTCAATGCTGAAAATGTCTCTGATGTTTTAGCCCCTAATTTTAATCTGTATTTTTTGATTGTATTAATTCCTCTCAATGCCTTTGCTGACTTCTGTAAAAGGTGGTGTCTTTTGAACTCTTGTGTTTTTGATACTTGATTAAGTTTGTTTTGTAAAGATGTTGAGATGGGTTTTTCTTTGTTGTAATAATATTCCTTGTTGTTTATAACGAGTTTTTTTAAAGGTTTATTGTTCTTCCCTGTTTTTATGTTTGCTTCATTATTGGATATTAGATAATTGATAACGTAACCTGCTTCAAAATCCCCTGCCATTTCTCTAATAATATATAAGGCATTTTCTCTTTAAGTAGTTTTGGGGGCGGGTTCTTGTTGCGGGTTTGGATTTGGTGGGTTTGGGTTCAACGTTGAAATGTGGGTTTGGGGTTGAGTTTGAAAATGAAACTGATGAAGCTGATGTGATTGTTGATTTTGGGGGAGTTGTGAAATGGTGGATGTTGCCCTTGTTTTGTTGGGTTGGTGGAAAGTGGAATTGAAGGGTTGATGGAAAGACGCCCTTAAATTTTGGGGTTGGTCTCAAACATCAATATGGAAAATTGGCGAGAGTTTCCCCTTATTTATTACTATAAATTTAAGGGTGAAAAAAAGCGACAACGACCACACCTTGAAGATATACAGGGAGGTGCCTTCTGACATACAGGACGCATACACAGGGTCAAAGGGGTCAAAGGGGTCAAAGGGGTCAAAGGGGTCAAAGGGGTCAAAGGGGTCAAAGGGGTCAAAGGGGTCAAAGGGGTCAAAGGGGTCAAAGGGGTCAAAGGGGTCAAAGGGGTGAAGTGTCAAATGTCAGGCTCGGCAAACTGTCTGGCAATGTCATTCCATAAATGTTTTTGTTTGAACCCTCCACTTTAACAGAACACCAAAAAAAAAAGGACACGAACAAATAACCCTGTGTCAGCCAAGCCTGGTAGAGAGTAGTCTCGTACAGATACATCGGGATGACTTCACAACCTCAGCGTCGGCAAATCAAGTGGTGTTGCTTTCAAAACTGTTGTCAAGTGATGTGTCAATCAATCTCACGAGGAACCGCTTTTTTTTTCCACTTCTCTCCACTGGTAAAGCGTGTTCCCCCCTAACCATGTGAAAGCGAAAGCAAAATGAACGAAGCCACTTTCTGTGATTTCTTGCTCTGGTTGATGTCTCAAAATGAACATATGCGATGACTCATTTGTTTGTGGTTGATGTAAAGGACATATAAAAGAGCAAGAAGGGCAATCACTCAATCTACCGCTTGTTCACTGACAATGGCTCAGGAATCTCCTTGCAGGGTTGTAGAAACGACACGATTTCAAAGCAGGGTGCCCCAAACTTTCGGGGCAGGGTGCCCCAAACTTTCGGGGCAGGGTGCCCCAAACTTACGGGAATTCGGGGCAGGGTGCCCCAAACTTTCGGGGCAGGGTGCCCCAAACTTTCGGGGCAGGGTGTCCCAAACTTTCGGGGCGGGGTTATTTTAGACATAATCAGTCCTCAGACGATGAGACAGTTGGACTGCTGAACCTGCTGGATGACATCGGCGGTGGCGGGGTTGTTCAAGTGCTCACGGCGCACCAACTCTGCGTCAATGTGCTCAACGAAGCCGACGTTGTTGATTTTGGCTTGACCGTTCTCCACCTTGGAATACTCAGAGATGTAGATGCGAAGCAACTCACGGCAGACCTCCCGCTCGAACATATTCAAGTGGAGGATGACGGACTTGACCTCACGGATGGCAGGGAAGAGCAGGAAGGAGGCACGAAGCACCCGCTCCTCGGTTGAGCCCTTGTGCCCCTCGTTGCGGTCGCCGATGGCTTTGCGGATGAGGTGCAGGTTCTCGGTGTCAACGTTGGCGAGGCACGTCTTGATGATGTTCAGTCCTGTCTGCTCCTTCATCAGCTTCACACCGTTAAGCGAGTTGCGCTTCTCTGTCAGATACTCCTTGATGTTGGCGGGGAGTTGCTCTTCCGGAGACAGGTTCATCAACTGTTCCTCGTCCTTAGCCATCTTCTTGTCAATCACTGACGAAGCCCTTTTCTGGAGCATGTCAATGGCATCCGATTGCTTCAAGAAGGGCTTGATGACACCACCGCCCAAGCCCCTCGTTGTGACTGTCATCAAAGAGCCGTCGCCGACCTTGACAGAGCGCATCGTGGTCCTTGGGTCACGGTCAGCGAAGATGTCCTCACCGCCAAGGTCAAACTTCAGGTCGTTCTTGAACTTCTTGGCAATCTTCGCCTTCTCCATGAAGAGCGTCCGCATGTGACCAATGCCTCTGCCTGACTGTGTGGTGATGGAGAAGCGCTTACCGTTGAAAGAGAAGGTCACGGTGATGTCCGCCTCCTTCTCGGCTTTCAAAGCCAAAGACTTGGCTTTCACCATGTCGCTCTTGGATGGCTTGTCGGCGTTCTTCGCGTCGTCAGCCCTTTTCTTTGACATCTTGCGAGCCAGCTTGGATTGTTCGTGAAGAAGAGCTTCCTGATGCTCCATCTCCTCAATCCTCAGCGCCAGCATCTTATCCGAGAGCTTCTCCATCTCCTGCTTGAAGCTGACGGGGACGGTGGGAATGTTCTTTGCCTTGGACTTCTTCTTGGGCATGACGGTCTCTGACGAGGAGGCGGGGACATCCGCCAGAGGTGAAGCCACCGCCGAAGGCTCTGTGGATGTGGTGCCACCAGCGTCATCCTTGTCTTCATCATCCTTCGGTGGAACGATGGGCTTGGCTTCATCTCCCGAACCAAGCGTTTCGGAAGGCTCTTCCTGCTCATCTTCGGTCTCTGTCTCTTCCTCGACGCTCTCTGCCAAACTCTCTTGCTCAGCCTGAGAGATGGCATCTTCGGCGCTCAGCATCTGAGCAACTTGCTCATCCGACAACGGGTAGCCACCACTGGACATGGCTTACTGTTGCAGAAAGCAGGACAGATTTCACGCTTGTTGCTTGAACACGAGTTCTCTGTTTCAGACATAGCATCAAGCATATCCACTTGTCAGGTTTGCGTGTGCTCATTCAGTCAAACTCTGTCATACTGAGGCGCCCGACGAGAATATGGACCAGGACATAGAAGGAGAACACGAAAAGCGTGGCGGTGGTGAGAGTTCCCCAGAAAGCCTTAAAATGGTCTGAAACCTGAAACTTGAAAATGTTAAATTGTTAGACTGTTATTAAATGAAAAAATTGTAAAAAAAGTTGAGAAATTTTAGGAAAATTCCCCAGAATCCCCCTTGGTGTTTTGAACAAAGTTGTTTGCTTGTTGAAAATGAACCCTGAACCCTGAAACCCTACCTTGAAAATTCCCTACCCCAGGAGCCCCCTATTAACTATTTTTTCCCCTCCGCCCCCGCTTCCCCCTCAGTTTGGATCCCATCTCCGAGGTCCGGGGCCACGCTGGCGCTGGCGAAGCGCTTCAGCGCCACGCGGTTCTTCAACGAGATCTCGCAGCTGAGGTGCACCATCTTCCAGTACATCGGAGCCTCCGGTTCTGCGGTTCTCCGGGCTTTGCGGGCTTTGCGGTTTTTCGGTTTTTCGGTTTTCGTAGGTTTGGAGGGGTACTGAGCTACCCGCAAAAAAGATTTTGTTGTTGTTGCTGATTGTCCCTTCAACCCCAAAACAGGGCACCGGCCAGAAAAGAAAGCAGAACCCATTTGGGTGTACCCTTGTTTAGGTTTCTTTCGATAGAAAAGCCACCAAAATCCATTTTGTGGGGTCCCTTCATTTTGAGACACACCCATGAGGGCTACCGCAACTTCCTACCTCTTGCCATGAACTTCGTGCGCTCCCATGCATAAAGGAAAAACCCTGAAGTGTTTAATTGCGACCTTCCAGGGTACCTGAGTACCCCTTTCAACCTACGAATGCATGAAAAAAACACACGAACGAAGCTCCAGGGTAGCTCTGAGTGTCTCTGAGTACCCTCGAAACCGAAACCAAAACCACATGATAGCAGGGGGGCAGAACTTGATTGGCAGGGGCCGGTTTCACAGGTTAGCTCATGTAGGTGCCATGGTAGGTAGGTCGGTAGGTAGGTTGGTAGGGAGCTATTCAGCACCGTCTTCCAATACATCGGAGCGAAGAGAAGCGACATTCGAAACGAGCTGAGCAGTTAATCCCTCTAAACACGTGTGTCCTGAAATGAGGTTTCCAATACCTTGGAGCATTGCCCATGTCAAGGTGAACCCTATGGCCATCAGGGAATTGCTTAATGCACGGCAATTGGCTGGTACGGTTTCACGGCTGGTTGGCCTGGGCACATAAGTTGGAGTTTGGGGGAGCGCACTGGGCAGAATCGTGCCAAGCGAGTGGAGGTTTGGTGCCCTGAGATGGGATTTATCCAAAACCCTCCGATCCTCCGCTGGAATGAATAAGTTGCCCAGACACCCTGTGATGCACTTGTTTCTTTTCTTCTTAGGGTCTTCCCTCCAAAATCGATTCCCAACAAACTGGTGCCTGTTCCCATGGCCATCCACTGGGACCCTTCTCCGTTGGTGCCTCTCACCTTGGTATGTTTTTGAAGACCTTCGCACCTGACCTGGTCATTTTTGTGTTTTTCTCTCGATGTTTCGGGGGTTCACCTTGGAGCCCGAAGGGGGTTGGTTCTGGTTCCTTCAGGAGAGCTCGGCCGGTACCTGGTGAACTATGCCAGGCACCTCCCTCGCTTGCGAGCGTCGAATGCGGAGGTTTGCTAAGAAGGATTTTGGGAAGCGGGGAAACCAACAGGAAGCCCCCCCACTCTTGGGGGTCACCGAACTGAGACGCCGAGAGCCAGGGAGCACCCGGAGGTGTGCAAGATCCCCCACAAGCTCCGTGGGGCCGTGGGGAACGGCCTGAGGCGCGGAAAGCGACGTGGGCGTGGAAGCACGTGTACACGCGCGCATGGATTTCTGGGCAGCACTTTGACGGCGTTGCGTTCTGGGGGTGGCCGGGGGGGGGGTGGCTTGCAACATAACATCACCCAAGTTTTTGTTCAGCATAGTTAGGACCTTCCAGCAGCTTTGGGAAGGGCCAAAAAGAGACGAAACACTGCACGCAGCAAGCCCTGCAAGAAAGGCGCGGACGTGCCTTTTTTGCGGACGTGCGTTTTTAATGCGCGCCGGTTGTGGCATGACATTGTTTGGCTCAAACTAGGGGTAGTCCCATTGTGGTCGGTTTTCCTGATAGTTTCCCTTCGAACCAACCTTAAGAAGGGTAGCCTCACAAAAGACACCCACATGTCACCAGAGCCCAGGAGGAAGAACATGTGACAGATTCTTGTTCCTGCTTGTGGGATCGATTGCGAGGACTGTTGTCATTGGGCTCTTGGGGTGGTTCCTTGGAAGGAGCTCCAAGCCCTGCGGCAGCGTTTCATTTCAATCGGTCTGGACATACGAGTGACGCCATACTTACCTGTGGCGGGAAACACTCAAATCCGCCACAAGTATTTTGTCAGACCTGGGTTTGTCTCAAAGTAGGGATTTGAACCCTTTGTTTTTTTGGTTCCCTTACCCCAATCGCCGCAAAAAGGGTTTAAAGGGTTTCCTCGAGAAATGTCCACTTTGCCCCTTTGTTCCACTCTCTTCGGGTTTGTTTCTGTGGGCTGCACTGACTTTCGGTTTCGGCCCTTGCGGGCAGTGAGATGCGCCTTGCGCAGGCCGGAGGTCTGGGACGAGTTCCAAGACAAGTTCAACATCCCGGTGGTGGTGGAGCCCCAACCTCGGCACTTTGGGGGATTTGGCTTTGGGGGAGCCAAATCCCTCCTCTACTAGGTCTCCCTAGACTTTACCCTTCAAAGGGTGGTTTCAATCATCCCCCCAAGATTGTCAGACCAAGATTTGGGGACTGATCAAATTGCCTTATTGCGGTTTCAATCGTCATTTTTTGGAAGCGCCGATGTAAAGTCTGCAAAGCCACACATGAATATTGAGATTACGTAGCTCATGTGAGACCCACTCCCCAAAATTGAGACCCACCCAACTATCCTCCCTGATTCTTTACCCTCCGCTTTTTGTTTGCCGTGCCTGGCCTGCGAAGGTGGCCATGCGAAGGTGGCCACTGAAGGAATTTTCCTCAGGGTCCCTCACCTGGGCCCGCCGCTTTGTACCCAACGCCCCTTTGGATTCGCCCCAAGGTGCTACTCACATGGGATCAAGCCCTACGAAAGGCGGTCTGCCCCGAACATACCTGCCCCTGGGGGGTGTGAACTAGTGACTACTTGCCTTTTGCAGACCCTTGTCCACTTCCATGTTCTTGGGTTTAGCGCGAGATCCTGCCGACTCGGAGGTTCTATGGATCCACGGAAGGCAACGGGGCGCTCATGAACTACTGCAGGACAAAGCGAAGCGAAACCGGCGCGAGAATCGACGCACGGGCCATTTTCGGCTGTTTCTCTAATAGGTCGCCTTTTGGCAACCCCTTCACTTGCCAAAGGCTTTGGGCCCACCTTTTGAGACACTCCTAGATGGAATACACAGTGAACACAACGCCAACATCAAAAAGCAGACAGGGTATACACAGGTTTTTTTCTTTTTGTAATCTTATACTGGGGTACCGTATCTGCCTCATTTTCGTCAGGGTCCCTTAGAACATGGCTTGAAATTTGTCTTTAGATTTCCGGAAGCTTCACCCGCAAGGTTCGATTCGATCCCCATCAGACATTCCTTCAACGAGGTTTCGTTGGAGCCCTTTCCGTTTTTGATTTTTTTTTGCGGCCCCCAAAGGTTCTGGCGCTGTTTATTTTTTTTCCTTGACCATCGCTAAACACTATGTATGGAAGGGGCCATCCACCAAGATATTCTCAGCAGTCTGGATGCCAAATCAATCTTTCATCCTGTTGTAATTCTGTCTCGCTTCGCAACCCAGGCAATCTGGTTGTTGGGTAAATCCTACTTAGGGAACTTCCTATGCGGGGGCCATTCACCACTTGCCAACTAGAAATCCGGCGGGGAATGGGCTCTTGTGAACCATCCCTTGTGGTTTTCTTTTAGGGAATCCTCGGGTTCATTCTCAAAGCCCTTCAGTATCAGGAATTTTGACTCAATGGGGTGTCCAAAGTTTTTGGAATGATAAGCGGGACCGTCCCTGAGCTAATCTTCCACTCCCCAAATGGCTTGTGGTTTTTCAATTCTCTGCCTTATCGGTGTGTAAGTCCACCCCCTCATACGTCAAGGGGACGGAACCTTTGGTTTTCTTTCTTTTTTTGAACTTACACCAGCGGTATTTATTTTGGATTTCCTCATTTTGGATTCTCATTTTGGTGTTTTTTCAACAACGAAGCGAGCAAGCAAGTGAGTGAGCGACTGGTGATTCCAAAGAGAAAAAAACACCTCGTTTTTCTTCTTCTTCAAATCACGCCTGGGGTGGTCCTGTTTTGAAATCCCGCTGGCTCCAGTCCTTTTTCGTTTTGGAATCACTCATGGTGAAATCACAGTGAAATCAGGCCTGGGGGGTCCAGTTTTTTGTTCTTCTTCTTTTGTTTCTTAACCATGGGGGGTACCTGTGTTTGTTTATTGAATTCACACCTGGGGGGTCCCGGTGTTTCTTTTTTGAAATCACGCCCCGGGGGTCCTGTTTTTTGTTTCTTTTTCAAATCACGCCAGGGGGGTCCCGTTTCTTTCTTTTTTTTTTGAATCACGCCTCGGGGTCCTGGTGCTTGTTTTTGTTCCATTCATGCCTGTGGGCCGGGGTGTTTCTTCTTTTGAATTTACACTTTGGGGCTCCGTTTTTTGTTGTTGTTGAATTCACGCCTGTGGTCCCGGGTGTTTTTTCTTGGGAAATCACGCCTGGGGGTCCTAGTCCTGGTGTTTTGTTTTCTCTTTTTACACAACGCCTGGGCGTGACACCAAACAAAAGGAGCCCCAAGGTATAAATTCAAAAGAAGAAACACCCCGGCCCACAGGCATGAATGCATCAAAAACAAGCACCGGGACCTCCACTTTTTTTTTTTTTTTTTTTTTTTTAATTAATAAAGAAACAAACACAAACAAATCACCGGGACTCCCCCAGGCGTGATTGCAAAATATGTGACTCAAAAACATGTACCGGAGGTCAAGGGGACCCCCAAGGCACAAACTCGGGAGCCTTAGTTTGCCTTTGTTTGGCCATCGGGGTTCTCGACACTGTGAATGGAACAACATAATCCACACCAGGCACCAGTTGGTGGCTTATCGCAGGCAACCCGTGGGAGTCTCTCAACATGGCGGGCCGCCGCTTGGTTTCCTTTTGGGACACCAACCGAAGGGGACCGATCCCTCGCTTTTGATTTTACCTTGCTCACATTTCGGAAAGCCAAAAGGAATGCCATTGGGCCCAACAAATTGGGCGTGTCTTTTAAGGGACCCACTAAAAAAGGGTGGTTCTCCTTTGGTTTCCCGTTTAAACCACACAAAAAAACATTGCTCTGACCCCGCCGATTTCGACCACTTGCTTCAAGCCGAAGCCGATCTTGTTTGACTCCGATAGGAAGTCAGACCTGGAGAAGCGGGGCGCCGTAGGCCGGGGCGGCTTTGCCTTCCAGCAGGCCGGGCAAGCCCGGGGAGTCCTCGATTCCGGTGGATTGCTTGTCCTTTGGAGGTGGTACCCCTTGTTTCGGGGTTTTAAAGGGAAACCGAAAGGAACACTGAAGCAATTTGGGGGTCCGAATCCTAAAAGCGCACACCTTTTGGCGTTTCGGGGTTTTCTGGTTGGCACCAGGGGCGCTAACGAAACTCGCGAAGACCGGTTGGTCTTTTCTAAACGGTCCCCACGAAGAAACACAACGCAAACTTTGTTGTTGATCTGTGATTTCGGAAGTTGCAATCGCGTGTTTGCGAAATTTGTTAGTTTTGGAACTCGTGAAAAAAGATTACCCCAAGCACGCTGGATGTTTGGGATTGCATGTTGACTTGCAGGCTGAAGGGTTGAACCCCCCGCCACCTTGTCCATCGAAGCAGCTGGCTTTGGGCTCAGGTGCAGTTTGCCCGAAATAGCAGGTGACACACCCGACATGTTTTCTTTGTTGGGGACATGCAGGGAAAGCCACACCTTTTGAAACCTGAATTCCCGGCAGTTGAACCATTTCCCACGGGTTTGGGGCTTGGTGTCTGGGTTCAGGCGGAGTTTGCATCTCCAGGGAAAACCAAAGTTGCAGATTTTCCAGCTAGCAGGTAAATATGCACCGTTTCAGCCACGGGTTTAGGGGCTCAGGCAAGGAGTTTCCAAGCAGAATTCTATGGACCCTAATGGACTCCGTCTGGGTGTTCAACTTTTAGGATTTCAACTGCACCCGAAGCGGGACTGTGAGACATGTTGGTGAGAAGTTACAAGGGGGACAAACCCCAAGTTTCCCTTTGAGGGACACCAAAGGCATCGTTGCACCGAACCTCATCTGAGCAGAGCCCAAAACCCTCATCAAAAAACCAGCTGGTCTACTACCTGGTTTCATAGGACTAAGGCCCCTGTAAACCATTAAAACCAAGAACCAAAAGTCAATGGATGAAAGGGGTCGCTGCTGAATGTGGCTGTCTCTTTTTTAGGTCTTGGCTTTCATGGCTTTCCGCTAAAGGCACAAAAGCCGGGGGAGCCAACTCCAAAAAAAGACCGGCCGCCTCGTATTTGAGGTGTGCGGGGCCCAGGTGATGAAGTTCAAGATCCTGAAGTTTGACGTGGAGAACGAGGAGCCCATCCGCGGCGCCGACGGCTTTTGCGGCTTGGCAACCAAACATAGGGCCTTGGGCTGGCGAAGCGGAAGGTTAGCCTTGGGATTTGGGACATCCAAAAGTCCAGTGCAGTCAACGCCTTTTTGGGTAGATGACGCATAAAGGACGCCGCCATAGGTGTGGAATTCCACCCTTTGATTCTTGTTGTTTGTTGGGTGGGCTTCTGTAGTACCAAGATTTGATTTGAGGGGCGTCCGAAAGCGAGTTCTATTGGCCATTTTGGTACAATATGGTTCCGCGACCTTGTTTCATGGTTTGAAGGAAGGCTCAACACTTTTTGTTTTAAACACCATGTTTTGAGAACCAAAGTCAATGCGTGCAAAGGGCGCTCAGTTGATTTTCTTTTACGATTGCCCAATGCTGCAGCTGGAAAACTTCCGGCACCAGCGGGTAGTTGGTTTATGCCTGCCAGCTTTGATAGAGTTTCATGCTTCTAGGTCAGTTGGGTTGAACCACACTACAGAACCTGTGAACCTGTGAGGTCATGCTTCACCATAAGTGAAACACTGCGAAAGCAAAAGCGCACCTCTTCTCTGTGCCACACAATCCAGTTGAATGAACTCACTGGCGCTGTGTCTCGATGTGTTGGCACCATGTTCGAAGGTGTTGGGATGGCAAGAAGGGAAGAACCGACACCTCAGCTTCAAAGGACTAAACACACAAGTCTGCAGGCCTCAAAGTTCGTTCAAAGCTGATCGCATAGGACCCCAAAATCACAAGCGCAAAAGAGGGTGACCGTCTCCATGCAGGATTTTGGGGGAGCAACACAGGGATCGTCTACATTTTCCCCCTTTTTTGGGCCATTTGAAGGTGTATTTCCTTGTAAGGGGAAAGACAAGATACCTTGTTTAAGCATCCTTATTGGAGCACGTAGAGAAATCCTTTAAGCAACAAAACCATTCACCAACCAAAGCAAAATACACCAAGCCGCTAAAGGCATCCATCTGACTAAGAGCAAACAAGATACTCAACCGAACCAAAAGCTAGCTGAAAAAGCGACATGTTGAATACGCCAGCTACCACCATCCATTCGCCAGTTTCGGCTGCTGCGTTCTAAAGGAACTCCAGTTTCCGCGAAAGTCGAGAGGCATGGAGGCTGCACTGGGCGAGCCAGGCGCGCTGGCGGAAGGAAGTGATTTGGGGGAGTGGACACCATGTTAGCGATTTATGCCGCATCGATGTTGACCCCATAATAATCAACCCCAGCCCCTTAATAGGGGCGGTGTTCCCCTCCAAAAGTGATGATTGCCCACAAAACCCAGGGACACCCCCCTATCAATAAACCGGGGTTGATGAATATGGGGGCAACAGTATGGAAGCGGCAAAATGTATTTGTTTGTCGAGTTTCCGGTGAAATCGGCTCCCTGGAAGGAATGGGGAAGCTGTTTCTAAGGTCTATTGGACCGATTCGGCTGTGCAGAATTTGTAGCCAGACCCGAACTGCAACCATGAGGATATTGTTTAAACGCCAGTATGTTCAAACAAGGGGTGGGCAATGGCGGAACGTTGGAAGGGGATCCTTTTGCCTGAGGTCTTCCGAGAACCCCGTTTCGGCTTGAGTGTTCGGTTTTTTCAAGGGGAAACCGAAGGCCGAAGCCCCATGGGGGAGCAGGCCTGTGAGCCGAGCTGGCCGGGAGGACTTGTCTCCCCGGGAAAGGTCTGGATGACTCCCTGTCCAACTTTGGCGTACTATTTTGATTGGCAACTGGCAGATTGTTGATCCACTTCCATCGGAAAATTGACTCCAAGTGATTCGCTGAAGGTCTGGACTTCGCATTTGTTGGCCCAACTGCGGAGGACCCCTTTTGCTGTTTCGGGTCAACCATTCGGGGCCTCCAAATGGTCTGATCGAATCATTGCTGGAACTTGCAAGGCTGTATTTGTCTACTTGACTTATATAACCTCCCAAAGGAGACCCTCTGGCTGGACAGATACGATCCAATGCGTAAACTCGGGCTCATGAATGGGGTCATATGCCGCAGGGGAAGAGTTACGTTTGACAAACGCCCCGGCAAAGACTCCAAAGCTTTCACCAGTTGAGGAGAATCATCAACCAGGAAAGGATGGACATGGAATCAGCTCCTAGATCCGTTGCACGAAGGAAGCCCCTTGTGGTGGTGTGTCAACAGGGAAACCAACGGGAAAACTGCCGATCATTTGGAGACACACCCACCAACCGTTCCGTGTGTCAAAACCGTGCCCCTTTCAAAATGGTTGGCTGGGAAAAGTGGTTGCGGGGGCCATCACCTGGGATTTCTGGAAAGAAGGATCCTGGGCTCTTGTCTGGAAAGAAGGCACGCGGTAGACAAAGGGACGCGGAAGCCCGGTTGGCAGAGCCCCGCACGCGAGGTGAGCTCATTTTCCCGATCAAGGACCTGCCATGGAAGAAGCACGGCGCTCTGCTTTTCTAGGGCCTGCGGCATCTGTGTCCCCAAAGGGAAGATCTCGAGGCTTCTTAACAGTCTCTTTTGGAAGCAGTTTCCCTTCAAGCCAATATTTGGGTTTGTGTCAACATGGAGCGACACCCCGCAAAACGATTGTTTTTCTTTTGGTTTCCATTGTACACCGCCCTGTTCAAAGGGCGGCCTCAGAATCAGACACCCCCATTACCATTAAGATAGTTTTGAGGATGAAGGTCTATCTTCCTCCAGTGCCATCTATTCCAAAAGGACAGCAGGGTTTCGAACACTTTGAGCTCGAGCCCAAATGAAACATACGGCTCACCTTAGCCGGGCGAAGTTTCACGAGCTGAACATCTGAAGGAGAGGGATATACGAAAGCTCGGAGCAGCTAACCAGTTGATGTTACACACCCACCCTTCAGGGAAACCACCAAACGAGAAGCTCATTTGGCTGTCCAAAACTGTGATGTTAACAACCCATCTTTTGTACCCCAGTGACCATTATCCCTATGTGTCAACATAGGAGATCAAAGTGCCGGTTCTCCTTTTGGCTTTTTAGACTAACCAAAAGGCAAGCCCTCAAAAGAAACACAGACTCGTTTTTTTGTTGCCGGGGTGGGTGGGGTGGGGGGTCTCTGAAGTTCACTTCGCCAGGTTTGAGGGCTACACAGATGCCAAGGCCACCGAGAAGAAGGCGATCTTCCGCATGAGTTCAGGGATTGACCAATAGGCAACCCCAAGGCCATGAGTGGACCCCAATGGGCGGTGGGGTATCCCATGAGGGCGACGCATGCGAACTCCATGCGAAAGCCCTAACGAGCCAAAGGCCAGGCCCTCCCCCTCCAACTGAGTCGTTTTGGAGGCGGACTTTTCGCAACCTGCCGGCAGAATTGGTGCCCTTTCCGGCCTTTTTGGATGGCAACGCCGGTCCTGTGGAAAACGAGTTTTGGCTTTGCAGTTCTATTTGTGCGGGAGGGCATAACCCTTTTTAACTCCAGGAAAGCCACTTGGCAAGCAAGTTTTTGTTCCCCCGACGCTCAAGCCATGGTTGTTTGGATCAGATTTCAGGAGGGTTCTGGAGGGTTCCAGATGGTTCCGGGGCTGTCGGGGATAGCACCCAGGCTTATTTCTCACAAATGCAGGGATGGCGCCCAAGTACCCCTTTCCAGCGTGATGGAAGACGGGTCTTCCAACGCCCTCTGGTCGCTTGCAAAGGGAGACCCAAGCATAAATGTCTGGTGTGTTAGTCGTGTGTGTTTTCTGTTTCAGCTTACACCGTTGAATTGAATTAGGTGTCAGTTTCCTTGCGGTGGGCTGGCAGGGAAGGCAACTGCGATCTTGCAAAGGGCCGGGCCGTCTTTTTTGGCAGGGTGTGCGATCATTTCAACATGGCAGGGCCTCAAAGACAAGTTCCCCTTGTTTGGTTGTCGTGTGACACCTGCGCGGTTTTTACAGAGCTTCCATGGAGCACATTCCTACCTTTGACCGCCATTTTCATCGACAGGGCAACCCACGCTTGCGCCCAGTGGGCCACTGCGCTGCTACAGTCGGCCGGCTCAAACCAAAATCAGCGATGGGGCGACTCGCGCCTGTGCTCGACTTCCCCCAAGCGCTGGTGGTTAGCACAGCCGGGCCCTTGGGTCCATGTGACCATTGGAGTGAACCCCGTGGCTTTCCATCCTAGACGAGACACAAGTATTTACGTATATTCATAGATGCATATTCTCGCGTGCATATGCATATATATATATATATACATATTTGACCAGTAGTCATGGATGAGTTATTTCTTTAACTCGAGCTGCGCTTCCGGGTCGCGGCCGCCAAATGGCAAGTTAATAGCTCACCTTCGCAAGAGGGGTCCAGGTTGACATCACCCTTGAAGTTGGGGGCCGGGATCAGCGACTGTGCGCCGAGTACGCACCCAGTGAACCAAGTGCGAGTGCATCGAGCACGCACAGAGCACACCCAGACAAAGCCAAGTGCACACCGAGGGCTCCGCGTTAATGGGGGCGCGGATCTGGCGCGTACTCGGCACGCCAGCGCACCCGATCTGGCAACGCTTTGCCTTCGCACTGTTTTGTTGGAACTCTGTGACATGTGCATCTCTGGCTCCTCGAAAAGAACTCTGCCCCATGTCTGGATTCTAAAAATCCCAGGGTTGCTCTGAGCCTCAAACGATCAACCCGCCGTAGGAAGGGTCCTATTTTTTTTCTCCAGGGGCCAACTTTCTACATTTGTGAAACCATGTTCACTGTTTCACCTCATCTGGCGACTTCCATTTCGGCGTTGTTCTCCATTTTCTGCGGAATGCGGGGTGTGCGTTCTTTGAGGGCACCCTTGTTAGGGCAGTTTAAAGAGACACCAAAAGGCGTCCCCCGCCATTTGTTGGGGGGTCCCTCAAACTGTTGACCACTTTCATGTGACGTGGCTTGGCACATGCGAAAGGAGGGGGCGCGAAATCCGATCCTTGAGGCGCCGCTGGTGTATTTGAAATTCCTGCAGACGCTCCACCGCTCGGTGTCCCGCGTGTCCAGACACCACGCCGAGGGCCTGGGGCGGGGGGCTTGGCCGGAAACGCGTTGGACCGGTTTTGGGAGTCTCCTTCCCACGCAGCAAGTGGTGAACAGCCCTGGTCCACGAGTCCCCTAATTAGGACTTACCCTACATATAGCCAATTTCAGGGGCTTATCAAGTAGGGTTACCAACCACTTACCAAGAGGAGTGTTCATCCAAACATGGATCCCCTTGTTCTGCCGAACCGGTCATGCAGTGAACGCCTCCAATTCACACGGAACGCAAAAGGACGTCCTTCCCCGTTCGAGGGCGAAAGGGTTTCTTTCGTCGTGCAGATGTGTTTCTTTGGACTGAAAAAGCCCACGGTATCGGTTCTTGTGGGAAACTGAGGTTTGAAACAAACCGATGCTTGAGACAGGTCGAACATGGGGAGACAACCAAGCTTTATTGAGTTGGTCATCCTTTCTGGCGCCATTTCCGAAAAACCGGCCAGATCCTTACAATGTAAGGGGAGGCCCAGGCCTGGGGGCCCAAGCCTCGACAAAAACAAGGCCATATCTCCTTTGGTATGGTTCCAACATCACCTTTTGGAGAGTCAAAGTGAGTTTCCTGGCGGGGTGATGCTTTTGTTGGACAGAAACGTGATAAATACAGACAACCCCCCTTCCGTGCGAGGATCGGATCGGTGTTTTGCCGCCTAGGAACCTCCTGAAGTTTGTCGGCGCGACCTGCTTCGCGGTGGGCCACGGCCTGCAGTGTCTGCACAAGGGCTCTGCTGCAACCCGGCGATGTCTACGCGAAGCAACACACTTTTTTTCTCGCTCCCTGAGTTCCTGGACTTTAAAAGTGTTTGGGTTTAGACCATTTGAGTGGTATGCAAACCCGTATCCAGTCAAGTGAGATGACCAAAGCAAAACATGTAAGCTGAAAGAGGGCCCCGGTTATAAAATCCACCTCCAGAGGGTCCCAGTAGGTTCCATGAAACGTGGGCTCCGCGAGTGGGGGCAGTCCGAAGGTGACAAACGGCAAGCACCTGACTGCTCAAAGGGTGAGCGACTGGGGATTTGAAGCAAAGCCCGGATGTACTCCTCTTAATTGAGGAGCGCCCAAAGCCCTCAAAGGGACCATGTTAGTGGGTGGTTAACCTTTTATGAGTGTTATAGGCCTTTATGACCAGGCTAGTAGACCCAACCCCGCAAGCTGAACAGAGGCAAGCTGAATGGCGGCCACATGCGCAGAAACCATAGGATGCATGCTGCAGGCGGGCTGTTGCCCACTGAAAGATTCGAATTGACGGGCTTTGCCTGTGGCTTCAAGCAAAGTTAGCTTCCTTTTGGTGTTTCATTTAATAAAATCTATTTGGAACCCCCGAAGGCCTGATTCCCACTCAGACTCCTACTGAGGAGTACACGGACTGGGGCTACATCCTCGCTTGCACGCCCTGCTTGAGTCTAGCTTGCAATGGGGAGGGTTGGTTGCAAAATGAGTCTAAGCAAGACCCTGGTACTCCTACGGGGAACCCAAACCCAAAATGAGTTTGGTAGGGCAAGGGAACCTCTAAGGTGCTCCAAGGCTAGCTTTTTCCCATGATCAAGAGCTTGACTCGGCCAACCCGGCGCATGTGCGACGGGCATTCGTCGCCATGGGATCCGGCCGGATGTTTTCGATGTGAAGATCATCGGATTTAGGTTGCCAATTTTGATATCTATGCGTGGCCCAAAGGGAACAGGAATCAATCACCATGATAATACCGCAAGGCGGCTGTCAAGTACGTTCTCCTGCAACCCACCCATTTCAATCTCAGATGGTTCTAGTACCCTCAAACTACTACCTAAGAGAGATCATGCCTGAACCCCTGTTTGGAGCATTTTCCATTTGGAGCATCTTCCACAACCATCATGGCATTTTTGGAAATGCGGTTTCTCGGCGGTACACATCAGAGAGCGATGCTTCTCACACCACACAGTGACTGGTTGTCCCCAAAATGAGGAATTGGATACCGAACAAATGGTGGCTTACCGTTTAGTTTCCCTTAACCAGCCAGAAGGGTCCCTTCAGAGGCAGAAATTGGGTTCCATGTCAATCTGCAGAGCACCTTTTAGTTTTCCCCCGCCCAGAATGAGGCTGAAAGCGGCATACCCAGACGAACGAGCGACCCTTTCTCACGGTGACGGCTTGCAGGGTCCACGTCATCGGTGAACTGTTTGCAATTCACCCAGAAATTGATCAGTGTTTCTCAAAGGGTTGCCCTTTTGGATGGTAAGGGAAAACAAAAATGAAGGACACCATCAGAAAGGGTCGTTAAGTTTGAGAGAAACATCATCGTATTTGTCTTCGAGAGGGCCCAACATGTTTTTGTTCATCTCTCCAGCGGCTTCCGTTTGCAACCGCTGCCGGCACCTCCGAAATGAATTTCGAATCATTCGACATGTCGAGGTTTAAGCAGCTGCTCACTCGCTGAGTTCCTGGACTTTTCACAGTTTTGGGGAAGACCATTTTGGCAAACAACAACCGTGTGGACGGTTTTTGGGCCAATCCGCTCAGGGTGGAAATTGGAAGTCCTTCCATTGGTCTCACAGTGATGCGCACACGTTCCAGTGCGCTCGCTCCGCACTGCTCACATGCCTGCCAAATGACGGCCAGCCAAACAAAAAGGGGTGAACAGTGAAATGAGATGTTTGCCTCCAGAGCCTTCGAAACAAGATGAGTGTTTCGTCGAGGCGAAATGACACCATTGCTGTTTTGCAGTGGCCACGTGAAATGGACCTCGGTTTTGGTGCCGCTGGAAAGTGGCAACCTCAGCAACAGCTTTCTGTAGGCTGAAAACCGCGGACAGTCGCGGGGCGGCTGAACAGAGGCTTCCCTTGTTTTGGTTTCCACAAAGCGCCATTATGAACCTCTCAAAAGGGTTTCTCTTTGAAAGGCCTCATCAGGCAGCATCCAAAGGGAGCGCACACTGCCTGACAGCCTTGAGCGTGTTAGCCCCGTCATCTTTCTGCCTGGAAGCGATCCCCTTTCCAGTCGAGGGCTTTCTTCCGTGAGTGCTCTTTGGTTAGAGCCTGGACCTCTTTCGTCCTGGGAACAGTATGATTCTTCCACTGACAAGCAAGAAACACAGGAGCAACTGTTGGGATTCAAAGACCAACCCAGTTGGTACCTGAAAAGTATGTTTCTTTGTGTTCCTGAGTTTGGAGCGATTTGTGTGAACACATGTGAGATTTCACAGTTTATGTAGAAGCTCCTAAATTGGGGCGAGGGTGGGTCCCAATTTGGGACAGAGGGCGTCGGTTTAGACCACCGTATTGGAAACACGCAGGGGCCCACTCAACAGGTTTCCTCTTGGAGTTTGTTAAAACAGTGTGCGCGGGTTTTTTGTTGGTGTGATTTTACTCTTCACCTTGGTGTAAAGGGAAACCAGAGGAACAAACACGATATGTTGGGCCCCTGTTATGCGCAAAGACCACGCGCCGCGCCAAGGAACCTGGCCTTTGGCGGCGCGCTTCTGGGTAGGCCCTACCCCTCGGCGCTGCTGGCCTCAGGGTGCCCGGCTCACCGGGGGGGGGGGGGGGAATGCGACTTACTTAGAGCTCCCTAAAAGCTATAACGTGTTGGACCCACAGGGAACCCTCCTCTCCTTGCATTTCGCTCTAGCTGGCGGGTCCTTGTGCCAAACTGAATCAGCCCCTTAGAGTTGCCTTGGGAATCCGTTGGATAATTCCCAAGATCCGTTGATGCCCTGCGAGTTTTAAGTGGTTTCATGGACCTCTTGGGGAGGCTATGGGGGGGGGGCTATCCCTGAATAAGCTGAGGATAAGCTGAGGAGAAGCCCTCAATACGGCCTTGTTCAGGGGTTAATCAGGGATAGGCCCACGTCCCCATAGCCCCCTATGTGGTTATGGGACCAATTTGCGGGATGGTGGGGATTTCGAGGGTCGAAGAAACGAACGGACGGACGAACAAACGAAGGCGTTCTAAAAGCATTCGGCAGTGTTTGGGCAGATGGAATACATTTGATAAGGAGCAAGACTACGCTGCTTGCAGTTGACAGCGTGTTTGAGCATGTCGCATTTTTGATCGGGAGTCCGACCCTGGTAGACGGGCTTTCGCGTCGGATTTGCTTTTGGAATGATTGGGTGTTGCTTCAGTCAGGCCAGGTCGAGCAAGCGCGAAAGCAACCTGATGAATTACAAACCGTCCCCCCAAGTCCTTAAAAACCATCAAACCCAACCAAGCAACTCTTAACCCTAAAGACACTCAAAACTTAACCCCAAAGACAAACCTGAATCGTTGGTTCCCTTTCCTGTGATGCCAGGGAGCCTCTCCTCGAGAATTTGTCATTTTGACCTTTCCTTGGTACAGACAATTCCCACCCTGTATTGTTGGACCCCTTGATTTCCAGATCCTAAGCTATTCCGTGAGATTTGGGCACAGTATTCGCAGGTCCTTGTGTGTGCTTCATCGCCCGAACATCCAGGTAGGGTACATCCCAATGTTTCCAATCTTAGGGCCCCCAAAAAATTGCTTCTTGGTTTGACTGTTGGTTGCCAACTTTCAAAGATGCGGGAGCCAACTCTGAGGAAAAAACAAACACATGAGAGACCCATGTTTTAAATTTGACCTATCAGTCTTGCGGTTTTTGGATGGAATGTGAGTGACACGGGTGTTGCCTTTCTTTGGAGGGAGTGTCCATTTTGTGCTGTTATTGGAGCGAATGAGGCTCAACCTCGGAATTTTCTTGCTGGTGCCCAGCAGGGAATGACCGAATAAACAATATATAACCCTCGAACTGGTTGTTTCCCTTCTTCTGGGACCGATTTCCGGGGTTCATTCAACCACTTTACCTCCCGACCGATTTCGTTTCCCCGACGACGCGCGTTTTTCGGTCGCAGGCTGCTGCTGCACGTGGCCTACGACCCCCTGCTGCTGCGCGCCTGGCGCGCCGGCGCGGAGAAGCTGCTGCCGGGCATCGGGGTGGCGGCGCCTCGGGCGTCGCCGTTTTTTTGGTCGCGGGGGCGCTGGGTGGGTTGGGGTTTTCAAGGGAAAGGCAGGGAAACACACACACACACATGTCCTCCTGTCCTCCATGACTTGTTTTTGGAGGTGGGGGGGAAGGGTTCATTCATCCGAACTGCTTCGAAGGGAAAACCAAGAGGAACAGCAGTTGCGCCATTTTGGGGGGTCCACTAGAAGAAGTCGCACCCATGTATCGGTCCGAGCGCTGGCTTCAGGCTGCGATGCTGCTGACGTGGCTGGGCACCGTGGCGACGCTGCTGGAGCACTCGGTGCTGAGCAGCTCGCCGCTTCTGCCCGTGCCAGCGCCGCGACAGACCCGCGGGGGGGGGGGGGGGTGGGTGGTGGGTGGGGCTCCTGTTGTGGCATAGGGAAGAGAATCCTGCATGTGTGGGGTCGAACTCATAGGCTTGTGGACTCAACAAGCAGAATCCCATCATGTTCTTGGGGTGAGCGGTGGGCCAAGGGATGGGGCTGAAGGGAAAGTGGCCAGTTCTAAATCCGATCCTGTTTCAGAGAGCCTGTTCTGAATATTTGAGGCAAAGTCACGACCATCACCCATGCACTCTGCCTTCAACAAAAAGCTGATTTCGGGTTGGTGATTTTCGTTGAACTCGCCCATGTTCTTGTCGCAATCCCATTTGCCACCCTGACTCGTCGGAAGTTTGAGACAGAATCTAACCGGAACCCAAACCCGAAAAGGATGGCAATGGCGCGATGCCATGTCTGGGGTCCAACACATGAGGACCGACTCACCCAAGATGTGGTTTCATTTATGGATGTGGTGGCAGCACCAAGAACTTGTAGCGTCAGCAGTTGAAGCCGAATCTGTAGGGAAGTGACAGCAGCTCGCAAATTCAGGCTCTCCAGTAATGTGATGCAGTTGAAGTGTGGGAAGTGTCAGTAGCATAAGCACACAACCCATTTAGAGGCAGACCCATGTAAACCCAAAGGGAACTCGTTTTAGAAACAGGTTCAAAGAGCAATACCTTACATTCCTTGGGTCCCAACCCCTTTGCTCATGTAAACTCGGCTTGTGCTAAGTGGTAACCTTCAACCACGCGCTCACCCTCCAGGGATCCGACCGGCCTTACGATTTCGGCGCCATTTGGAGCACGCCCCAGCGGAAACCAGGCAAACAGGGGGATTTCGGGGTCCAGCCCAGCTCTTCCCAGCAAATTGGTCAACGGTTCGAGGGAAAATCTGAGTGGCACTTTCAAGGGAACCCAGCAAATTGGTCAACGCCGGCTTCGAGCCTTCGATCGTTGATTCAACCTTCCAGTTTCTCTCCCGTTCCCTGTATGCCCCTTGCAGGGTTTCAAACACCTTGGGTTCGGCCAAATTTCCCTTGTGGGACCCGAGTGATGTTCAAAAGAATCGGACCCCAAACATCGCTCAACAGTTTTCCTTCTGCTTTCCCCCTTTTAACAGGGTTCTCCCTTACAAACATTCACAACCCCAGAAAACCATGAGTTTTAGGACTCTCTTGACAAAGGCACCTTTTCGGGTCCCTTCCCAAACAAAACATGCAGAGTACTACCTCAAAGAAGCCGTCGCCATCGGGAGCGGTTTGACCAGGTCCATTCTGTTGACTGTTTCCTAGGGATTTTTCGAAGTCAGCAACTGGAATCGGTGTCTTCTCTGCAATCCCAACACTAGGTCCCTGGTGGTTTCCTTTCAGGGACTGCCGTTCATTCCATTTCTCCTTCCCTACCGATTTCGCGATCGCAAGCTGGGGGGTGGGGGTCCTGTAAGGTAATCCCCAGGTTCAATTCCCCATTCCCTACCGACTTCGCGATGGCAAGCTAGGGGGACTTTGGTGGTAAAGTCACGGGGCCAGTTTGACGCGCCCCGAGGTCTACGCCATGATGACATGCTGCAGCTTCGGGCTCGGGAACTCCGTGAAGCTCCAGCGCCTGCTGTCGGCCAAGGAGAAGCCGTCCTGGGACTTGCCTTTTAAAGGACATCCAAAAGGAAATCCAAGAGGATCCCCAATTTTTGGTGGGAATCTAGCATCCTTCTTCTAAGTTTGTTTTTGATTCCAAAATATGTTTTTTGCCCTTGTCATGTTTAAGGGTTGTTAGTCTTAGTCCTTTTTGTTTTCAGGGATGCCAACGGAAACCGATGCCCATCTAACTGGGGTTCGAGTGAGTCCTGCGAAGGGCTGAAGGGCTGAAGGGCTGGGATCGGATGCTTTGAAGGGATCGGAGCATCCAGCCGGGCCGGTTTTTCCGTTTTTCTTTTCAGGCTGGCCTAAATTGGTTTGGATTGGTGGGAATTCGAAGCCCTGGTTCTTGTAGAGGGTAAATGGGAAGCTACGCTTGTCCTAAAAAGGCAAAGACGTCCTAACGAAATGCGGTCTCAAGTACCACCTGTTGTGCCAACTTTCAGCGGTGAACACCTCCAAAAACCCTGGCGAGAATCCAGATTCCCATAGACCCTCAGAGGCACTGTGACTATGTTCCGTTTTGGGATCGGAAAAAGGGTCCCCGTTTGGGATGTCCTTGGCAGCAGAGACGATATGATTTCATTTGAAAGTCCTTGATTCGCAACCACCAAGTGGGAGAGCCTCCCACCCTGGTGCTTTTTGTGGTATTCCTTCGGTATCCAGTTTTGCGCAAACACACGTCTTTTGGGGAGATCACCCCCTTTGAGGGGAAACCCAAGGGAGGCTGTTTTCTTAACATTGGTTGAAGCAACCAAGCTCTGGTCCCCTTTTGAAGGGAAACCCAGATGTTGTCCAAGCATCCTCATTACCCTTTGGATGGTTTTGATGGGTCACCACTCCCGGTAGTGGTACCTCAAACCAAGGGTTGCCGGTCGCAAGCGGCTCAGGAGGCTTGTAACAAGGCGTTCCTGGGCCAAGTGCTGAAGGCCAGGTGTGCAGTGACCCCAGCTTTGTGGTGGTGCCGTTTTAGGTTAGATTGAGTAAACATAGATGGCACTGGTTTAGATGTGTTTTTGTTTATGTGCGATCCCCTGTGGCCAGGATTTTCAATTGCTGAGAGGGCTACATATGCGAATGTATATATATATATATATGTTTCTTTGTGGCAACACACTTCTAAGTACTCATACAGTGGTTCAACCAGAGGCAACAAAACACGGAACAGGTAGATGTTTGCAGAGCTATTATACTCGTAGTCAGTGTATAGTGTATATGCGTTTGTTTGTATACGTATCTCTCCCTCTCGTTATCTATATATACACACAATGTCAGTTTGACACATAATACATATGGTTTAGTCATTATATGTTCATTTGTCTATGAACATATATATATATATATACACATAATGTTTGTGCATTTGACAAACGTATTTTCTAAATTCGCATGTCCTCCAAGTGCGCGGAACTTCGTGCGGGTAGGTCTTTGCCTCCAGCCTGCTGCTCACGGGCAACGGCTTGGGCCTGGGCTGGCACAAGCTGCGCGTGCGGAGGTGTCGTTTGGGTTTCGCGGGGGGGGTGGTCGCACCCAAGGAGAGCAACCCTTATATGCCACTCAGAGGGATACATGTATAAATGTATACATATTCATATACGGTCACCCAGCACTATCTTCACTCTACTTCCTGGTAAACATGCTGAGCATTTCTTTTTTGATAACAAGTTGTCTTCTGGCTCACAGTTTTTGGGTCCTTACATCCTTTTACGGGATGTGGATCGAAGACTGTGGTGCAGAACCATCACAGTATCTTCACATCAACCATCACGAAGGCTTTCCGGTGTATGCTGAGATTACGCATGCTCACCTTCCTGCCAGCTAGTATGCTGCCAATGCTGCCTCTTCAAATAGGCGGACTGCCGCAAAGGGCGTGAGCTACGCGCCACACGCGGAACAGTCGGAGGTGAGGTATTGTCATTCACATCTTGGACCCTTCGCCTTCTGTTTGGTGTACTTGCCCGCAATACAGCGCATAGGCAGCATAGGTGTCCATTCTGGGTTTAGTTGAACATAGATGTGCTCCGGCCGCTTGCTATCTGTTCCGAAAGGATACCTGGTGTTCTGGCAGAGACACGCCGATTTTTTTTCCTTTCCGAAGGCATCCATGATATGATGTTTATATATGTGTGTGTGTGTGTGTGTGTGCGCGTGTCAAATAGAGGAGGGACCCGCAAAGTGGTGGTTTGCTTTTGTTTTGTGCCTTCAACCAAGGTGAACGGGGAACCCTCCAAACACACAGACGCACACACACACACATACACAAGCACAAAGTAAGCCGCACGAAGGATTCATTGAGGCTACAGGCTAAAATCCACTCCCAAACCACTCTCAGAGAAAGGTCGAGGTATGTACCCTCATGTAACTCTTTGACGAAGTCAGCAACATAACCAATCAGAACAAGGGTTTCCCAGCAGAATTGGCCGTAGTTGGTATCTCAGACGGCGATTTTTGCCACCCACGCATTCACCGCCCGCCCGCTCGCCGGTTGGAAGATGGGCTGTGCTAGGCATGCCTGGATGTGCTCCGTGGTGCTTGCAGCCTGCCTGCGCACTTTTGCCGCGAAGGCGGCATAGCTGGGCTCTAGTGACAGAATGCGAGTTTGCTGAAAATGGGCTTGGTTGCCTTGAAAACAAGCCCGAAAACTTAGGAAAGAAACAAACCCGAGCGTAATCGCAATCGCAAACGCAAACGCACGTCCAAGCCCAAGCACAAGCACAGGCACAAGCACAAGCACACACCCTAGACCCCCAAGAAGGAGCTGTTTCCTTTTCTTGGCAGTTCGCAGCCGTACGGTTCCTTAGACGTTTAGACTTTTAGAGAGTAGAGAACCGCACTACTTAATATAAGGGGCAAAAACGATTAAATACGGTTTGCGGGGAGCTTCAAAACGCAATTTAGTTGTGATTCAAGCAGTATACTATTGGTGATTTCTTGGCCCCTACAAAGGACAACCGACCGCTGGTTCCATTCCTTCCAAGGCAAACCCAAAGGAGGTGGTTTAAACACTTTGGTGGCTGTTCAGGAATCTTCAAACGGGAGTTACTTGTTTTGAGAACAAGGCAGAATCAACCCCAGTGGTGGATTTCCGCCAGGGGGATTGGAATTCCTGGGTTTGAGTCTACCTTTGGGCAATCAAACGGGAATCCGAGGGGTGGGGTGGGGGGTAGTGTGTGTGTGTGTGTGTGGACATACAACTCTAGGGGTACCTTCCCCGGTCTTTCCAGGGATCTTTCGTTCTATAAAACCTCCGGAAACCCAGGCAAAACGCTTGGTTTTTGAAAAGGACGATGGTTGACAAATGTCATTTTGGGCGGTGCGAACAATCGCAGGCTTTTGTTGATTAGGCGATATGTTTGTTCTGGGGACATGTGGTTTGTCTTTGATACTTTTCACATCTGGTTTTCGTCAACGTGGTTTATCGTTACATGCTGTTGTTGTCAAGCCATCAATTCCGTTGTTGTTTTCAACCTTGCGGGATTTAAGAGATTTGGCTACCTTTTTCTGGCCAGGAAGGCAGGTCGGCCCATCAATCCCATTGGGCTTACTTCGGATGCATCATAGTTGGTGCCTCTGCAAGTTGGCCCGTGTTGGCCCCCCGACTCGCAAGTTGGAAAAGGCTGAAAGTTTAGCATGTCGAGTTAATTACTTGGTTCTTAGGTTAATTAATCAGCTGATAAGTTAATTAACCAATCAAGTATCTGATTGAGAAACTAATTGAATGATACACTAATTAATCAATTAATTACTTAAACTAATTCACTAGTTAGTTGAAGGACTGATATCAGAGGCCCCTTTTCCCGAAAGCTTCGCAGAACTCCAAGCCCTTCCAAGATCTGCGCTAAGAATAATTTTCCCGGGTGGGCCTGTGTCCTCCCTATGGGCTCACTCAGCCAGCCCCAGGACCTGCCTAGAAGTGAGCCAAAGGAGCTGCAGGAAATCCATTTTGTCGGGGTCCCGGCCTGTACACACCTTCCCTTCCCTTCCCTTCTCTTCGCGAAACGCTTCTCTTGTGTTTGTCCGTTTTCCAGTGTTTGTCCCAGCAAGAGCGCGGGATCAAAATAGGTTTGTCTCAAACGGGAGGCCTCCAAACCGGATGGGTTTTCTTTTGGTTTCCTTTAATTCAGCTAAACAATGGCCCCTCAAAAGACACCCAAATGCCAACCAATTGGGTTTGGGGGCGTTCGGCTAGTTGTTTTTTTTTTGTTTTACCCTGCGGCGTTTTCTTTTTGCCAATGGCGGGGACTCCTTGGAGGTGTGTGGGCGTCGTTTTTATGGCGCCCGGTCCCATTCGGCTCTTTTTTGTGTTTTGGACGCCCGAGAGCCGGGGGTTGTTTTTTGGATTCTCGCCTGGGGTTCCGTAACAAGGCTTTTTCGAAGTTTCGCGTGAATCCAAGCAGCACCCTGTGGCCCTCGAGCGAGCCCTGTTTCCAGCCCCCAGCGAGAATCCAAACACCAGGGCCTTCTTTGATGACAGTGCGCAGTCCTTTTGCTGGGCTCACGGCTTTTGTCGCCGGACTCTTCCTCCCATAGCCAATAGCGACTGGTCCTTTTTGGGAGGTTCCCCGTTTGGGTGGGGCTGTGACAACCATCCCAAGCACCCTGGAAGAAAGGCATCCCCACTAAGATCAGAGGAGGTCTTCTCTTCAACCGGAAAGGGAACGGGTGGGGGGCCTGGTCTTCTCAGGCGGCAGAGAAGCAGCAGAAGCAGACAGAGAAATGCCAGTGATGTGGTAAACCGAGCAGAAGATCCGGTTGCCACGGTTCAGGGTAGGGCGTAAATATTTGGAATACGGGTTGTGGGGTACTATTGAGCCAAGTTACCTTAAGGAGGTTGGTTAAAGACTAGTGGTCCTGACATGTTTAAACAAGGCAACACCTGCTGCTCCAGTACCTGGGAAAGGCTCAGGCTTGGATAAGCACGCAAGGTCCTAATAAGAGCTCACTAGCCTCTCAATCGGAGCATGTTCTTCGCTTAATGAGGCTTATCTTTGCCAAAACATTGTCTGATCAGGCACACGTTTGGTACAATGGACTTTGCCCTTATTCAGCATGGGCTCAGCAGTTGCGCATTCTGGAGCTTGTTTGGGGGTATTTCGGGCTTGTTGCGGGGGCCTTATCAAGCGTTACTGCACGCTCCCCCCCGCGCCTGCCCTACTGTGGATTGAGTTTTTTTTTTTCTCCGGGAAGCTTCGAAATGGGGGCACAGGACACCCCGTGGAACAAGAATAATTTTGAGATGCGGGGAATTCTCCCGCACTAAAGTTGTGATGGGAGTCGCACTTCAATGGCACAGGGGCCGATGTCTGAGGCTGAACTTTTTGAGAAGTGGAGACAATGGTGTTTATACAACGCTTTCAACGGTTCCTACATTGGTTTGTTGTTTAAACAATGAAGCAGATCAACCAAATCGGTAATACATAGATATAACATACTTTTTTCTTTTACAGTATTTATCAGTAAACTAGGACATGGGCAACCAATACTTAAAAGACTTTCTTATGTCCGACAACCATATGTCCGCTCCAGCTATGGCTGGTGGGTCGCCGGCAATGGCGCGCGAGCGCCGGCCGTCTCTTGTGGCTGCTCCCAGGGTCCGGGTGAAAATTCTTACCACTTTCAGTGTCAAAACGAGAAACATAAGGGCCCCCCCAAAAATAGAACAGGGTTGCAGTCTGCGTTTCACCCAAAATTAGTCATGACTATAGGAGCAAACTATGAATCTTTGTTTAGGCCCTTTCAACACGAGCCCTGAAATGGGGCGTGTTAAGGTCCCCTGTCGTTCGAAACGCCCATTCCCTTCCAGCCGCACGATACCCATCGACCGGACTTTGGGATGCTCAGCACCAACTCTTTGTAATGCGCGCGGCTTCGCTGCGCAGAACCTGGGCGAATTTAGAGCGCCCAAAGTCAGGCTGGTCAAAGCAAACGCATTGTGGGAGCCAAGGATGAATATATCCCTGCTTGCTTCATAGGGGGATGCCCCTTTTTGGAAAATGTGGGCAACGAGCAATTGTGTTCCACGACGGCTGCGAAACATACACCCATTTGACCAACCAAATCCGAAAGGTGCCGTTTGGCAAGGCTCGTGCCGGCATTCATGCGTGAAGTGGCGGGCATACCTGCATACCCTCGCCCGTGCCTCTTGCCGTTTTCTTGCCCAAGGGTCGCATGCCCCAAAAAGCGAAATTTAGGGATCCCTGCACTTGAGAAATCAACATTCTCTGTGATCCACAGTGTCGGGACAGGGCACAATAACCCCAAAGTACCACTAGAATACAAGATCCTCTGCCAGTTGGGGGACGGTCGTTAAGTCTTGAAGTTGACCGGGAGATAGCGGGGGCAAGGGATACATTTGGAGCCCTTGGTAGATATTCCATGCATTCCATTCCCAGCTCCAAAAACATCCCAGCTGAACTTCCCATGGATGCGGGGTACGCGCGGAGGGTATGCATTTTTCCTGTCTCTTTTGGGGGCACGTGCGAACGCGTCACCACGTTCGCTCGCTCCGAAACCGCGGCCTTGTGTAGTTTTCGGCCGCCGAACGCCTGGATGGCAGAGATACTCCGCGCTGAGGCGGGCGCGCGTCGTGGGGGGAGAAGGGGGTCGAGTGCCCCTAAGTGAGTCCGCCCTGCCCCCAAATTGACAAGATAATTCCATGTTGCCGCATCTCATCTGAGCAGCATCAAGTATGTGCTGTCATCTACGGAAAAGGAAGCAACTTGAGGCACGCTCACTAAAAAGTCTCATCAGGATTATAGGTGCATCCCATGTCAGAGGGGGGACTCAATGATTGCCATCTCATGAGATCCCTTCAAACCCGTTCCCCAAACCCGCAGCGGGTATCTTGAATGGACCTCATGTGTCTTCAGATGGAGTCACGGAATCCATTTTGGCACAGACAACGCCGCCGGGTTTTTTCACGTTCACCAAATACTTGTCGGGGTCACGCGAAAGCTCCATACGATACGATCAATTGACCAGCCTCAAGTCATTGAGCGAGTCGGATTTGACTTTTTGACATCTTGTCTATTTGTTCGCAGCCTTTGATTCTAGGGAACACCGACCTTCTGTCTTCCCTTTTTTGGCAGAGGCTTTTTCTTTGGCATTGCTCAGCTGTCAAGGACCAACCTTGTTGCCCTTCATACAACTGCTCCTACCCCCTCCCCCCCCCCACCCCCCCCCCCAACCCTCCCTCCCCCCATCCCACTCCCAACCCCAGCTCCCCCAAAGCCAACCCCCAACCCCTGGTCGTTTCAAGTGTTTCTTTCAGAGAGTGTGCTTGTTGTTCGTGTGTTCGTTCGTTCGTTCGTTCGTTCGCTCCTGTGTTTGTTGGTTTGCGCGTGTCTTTGTATGTGTGTGTGTGTGTGTGCGGAGTGACAGAATACTCTGTCACCACCATGTGCCGTTTTTGGGAGCAGGGGGGCTGTCCACTGCATGGAAGTGACGGCCCAACGAAGAGGCTTCCATCAGTGCTGATATGGATTCTGGACGCAGAATCCACGTACCTGCAGTGATGAGAAATGTCCTTTTGGTCCCTCCCCTGAACCGCTGTTGCTTCTCTGTCTCCCTGTTGAAGTAGCTAGAGTGAAGCCAAGTGACCTGCCAGCCGATCCAGTTGTACTCGAGACTCATCAGTTGTACTCGAGACTCATCTGTTGTACTCGAAAGATTAGCACTCTCCATTTGGAGTTTAAGTGTGTACACCCCATTCGTGGGGAATCCTCGGGTGTACCCATTGTGTGACCCCGGGCCGGCTCTGTCGGACAATTTGGCCTCAACGTGCTTATCACAGAACAGCGGAATTTCACATTTAACCAGGAACGAGGTTTCACTAAAGGGAAGACAGCGGTCAGATCATAGAGACGTCTCACCATAGCTGCTGACGGCTGCGGACTTGTATTGCATTGGCTTGCCATTTGTTGGATTTGTTGCTCTTATCATAGCGGTTGATGGCTGCTGACTTGAACTTGCATTGCCTTGCATTTGTCGGATTCACTTCTCTCACCATAGCTGCTGACGGCTGCTGACTTGAATTGCATTTGCTTGCCATTTGTTGGATTTGTTGCTCTTATCATAGCGGTTGATGGCTGCTGACTTGAACGTGCATTGCCTTGCATTTGTCGGATTCATTTCTCTCACCATTGCTGCTGATGGACGCTGACATGAACTTGCATTGACTTGCATTTTGTCGGATTCGCTTCTCCAACCATCGCAGCTGGTGGCCGTTGACTTGAATCTGCATAGATTTGCATGTTGTCGGATTCGTTTCTCTCAAGGTGGAAGTGTGAAGGTTGAGAGTCGGTTGCGCCACCATGTCTCGACGTGATGATCGTGATAGATCCAGGACTCGTCGCAGACGCGATCGGAGTCCTTCTCCTCAAGCTCGTAAAGCACACAGACGTGAACACAATGACCACCAGGGCTCGGAGGGCATGGATTGGAACAACCTGGTATCTTGGCAACACAATTCCGGCTACAACTCCGCCAACAATTTCCCGATGATGCCGACCAATTATCAATCGATTCCCAGTCCCACGCAGCAGTTCCAGCATCCATCGATCAACTACATGATGCCGATTCCTCCAGAGCCCACGCCAACGAAGTTCATGCCGTCCGTGATGTCGCCACCGGTCACTACCTCGCAACCTACACCGTCACCTGGATACCCTGCAGCCCTGCCGGTTCGTCCTCAGAAAGCCTGGCTTACACCATCACCTGACTGGACGCCTGGAGATGGCATGTTAGATGTCAATCAGCTCTACAACTTCAGCCTGCCCATGACGGTTGCCAACACTCCGCACAGCAACCTACGTGACATGTCCGGCATGGACATTCGTGACGTTCGCCTGGTTCAAGTTATTCATGGGGGCCTCAACAACTGGCTGCTCCGACCGTTCGCTCACGGCAGATTCGTGACGTGGGAAGGCTTTCGCACTCGCACTGAGGCCTTACTTTGGAGTACCTGTTCCAAACTACTACGGCGATCACAGTCGATCAACCTGCTCACCTTGGAAAAGGACCTTGCCAATTCGCTGGGGCTCAACCTCGACGACTTCAATCAGCGGATCAAGGTTCATGACCATTTGGCCAACTTGGCACTTCAATTTCTTCAGCAACACCACGCAACTCTCACGCCTTCCACCCAGACGGATGACATGGTCAAGAAGTACAACGACCTAAATCGTGCTCATGAGTTGCTCCAGGCTCAGTATTCAGCATCGCTGCGCGCTTCGACTTCCCCCACGGTGGCAAGCCAGAAAGATGATGCAGAGTTGGTTACACCACCACCGGTCAATCACACACAATCCTCGTCACCTGCCAGCTCCCTCCCTACGGCCAGCGCAGCGGCCCTTGATGGCAAGTCGTTTGATAGCGCGGTGCAACCCCGGATCATTCAGTCTCTTCACGGAGTTTCTTCACCGCCTTCCAAGCCGGCGGCGTCACAATTGCTCACCATGCACAGCACGCCGGATGAAGTCATCAAGTACTACACATGGACCAGTGATCAGCCACGCTTGTATCTCAAGCAATCGCCCGCAACCACCACTTTGGCGTCACTGGTCAAGTGGGCCAATCACCCGTCCCGTCTCAACGGCAACAAGTCCTTGGATTCCATGGCGACGCAACTCCTTCAGGCGCGTCAACGCATGCCAAAAGGCGACGCACCTACGCTCGGGGCGATGGCGGCTTTGTGGGGACTGGAGCCCGGCTACCTCACCAAGCTCA